TCAAAAAATTCAAAATGCATGCAAGACCAAGTGAAACCACAACTTGCACTTGCACTTCACACAATATGTTTCCACTAAAAAAAATGATAAGCATTGAAAAATTAGATGTGAAGCAAATGCATATCCTACATCAACCATATAGACAGAGGTTCACTTTCCTTTTATTTATACAAGTTTTGATCTTTGTTCACGACAAGATAATGGAGGAAACCAATACCTTTGCCTCAAATTTGAAATCCAAAAGAATATTAGCTCCTTTGATGTCACGATGAATGATCTTAGGATGACCTGCAGCATACATGGAGAAAGATTAAAATTCTATCATCTGGAGAGAGTAAGGGAGAGGGAGCAAGGGACACATACAATCTTCATGTAGATATGCCAGCCCTTTTGCAGACCCTACAGCAATTTTCATCCTTGTTGGCCAATCCATTGTGGGTCGCCCCTTACCTGAAATGAGCAAAAGAATGAACAGCCAACTATGAGAACTGAAACCAGAGAAATGAAGAATCATTTAACAGAAAATGAAGAAATTTCATTTGAAAATTCACCTAAAAGTAACTATCCAAAATATATTTCTCTTAATTGAAACTCAGAACACAAACTTACCATGCAAGTGAAATTCCAGAGTGTTGTTAGGAACAAACTCGTAAACAAGCATTCTTTGAGATCCGGTGATGCAATATCCAACAAACGAAACAAGATGCTTGTGATGAATTCGGCTGATAATCTCAACTTCTGCATGAAATTCTCGTTCTCCCTGTCCACTTCCAGCCTTCAGTTGCTTGACTGCTACTTCTTTCCCATTTGGTAGGATTCCTTTGTGCACATACCCAAAACCACCTTGTCCAAGAAGGTTTGCATTTGAGAACCCTTCCGTTGCCCGTGCTAATTCCTCATATGTGAAAGTACTCTTTGAGAGACCTAATGCAATCCCAGGCCAAGGAGGTGGGAGGATCTCACCACCTGAATAGTTGGAGCCAGAACAACCACTGCTAATCATGAGCGGTTCTGTTGTTGAATTTGGAGTTGTGGAAGAATAATCATATGACATCTGCGGCGTTAATGGAACTGGTGGTGGAGAGGGCTTTGGATATGTAACATTACCAGCACGAGAGGGAGGATGTTCTTGCCGGTGATACTGCTGACCACCATAAGCACCATCTGGCAATACCAAAATAGTGCAGTAAACATCGTTAGCTTTTCCAAGAATTAATAACAATTATTAAGCATGCCTAACTGGAATGTGTAAGAAACTCCAACCATTGCTTTGGATGAATCAATCACAAATCCTTAAAAGAACAAAATCTAAAGAGAACTTCGAAACTTATTCAAAAGGGAAATTCATATAAGAAACACACTGATTGAGCCCATAACCTAAGAGGCTAAAAATTTGATTCTACATAAGGAAATTATAGAACAATATTTGGAGTAGAAAACAAAATCTCAACAAAATATATATACATAAATATATATATACACACACACACACAAATATGAGAGTAAAAGCATTGTGTCAAACTCAAAGGACAATACAGATGCAGTAGCGACAATCCCGTGTTTTCTGGATTATAGGCAAAGATCCATGTTTCAAGATTGTAAGAAGTAGATGAAGAAAATAAAATGTTGAAATCGATTCCTTCTTCAGGCTCTAAGCCCCAGAATTCAAAGAAAATAAAATCCTGAATTTTTTATGCAAAATCCATTTGCCAGGAAATAGAATCCTCATCCAAATTTAGAAAAGAAACGAACATGCAAAATTTTTTTTTTTGACAGTACATGCAAATTTAGATAAACGCAAACGTCAAAAAGGATTTTGATAAATTCCTCACTTTGAGGCCCAGGAGGTGGCGACGGCCGCTCATGGTAATTTTCCTCATCCCGTCTTCTTCTCTTCTTCTTACAGTAGATGAAGAGAAGACTTAGCACCAGCAGTATCACCACTCCCGCGATAACTATTCCCACTACCAACCCCGTTATATTAGGAGGAGAGGGAGGAGCAGGAGGTGAATCGTCATCTTCGTCGTCTTCGTCTAATAGAGTTCTACGTGAGGACGCTGAGTAGGTCGGAGACGGCCACGTCGACATTGTCACAGGAAAATAAAAAAAAATCAAAGAAAAAAAAGAAAGAAAGATCTTTTTTTGCTTCTTCTTCTCCCCGCTCATCCTCACCAAAGACGGAGATGGAAGATAACAAAAAGGCTGCTGAATGAAGGGGTTGATTTGGTGGCGGTTGTCTTAAATAAACGGGTTAAAGCCAACTGTAGTCCTCGTACTTTGAAAAAATATTCATTATCATCACTCTACTAAGGAAATGTTCAATGTCATCTCTCTACTTGGCATACATTATAAATGTCGTCCCTCAACTATACTTTTTTTGTTCAATGTCATCCTCAATAGGATGCCGTCCATATTACCGTTTACGTCATCCGTTAATTACATAATAGTCAAACATTCAAACTGTTGTTGTCTTATTTTTTGTACACTTGTACTCACTAATGGGACTAATGGAACCAGTGGGACCCATTTCTTGCATTACCTTTATTTTTCAGTATTCTTTAGTTTAATCATCAAGCAAGTGTGCAGAAAAAAGGAAAAAAAAAAAAAAGATAACAGAGCTGTTGGTCTAATTTTATACATGATATTTATATAAAATATTAATAATTTATTTTTTTATTTTTAATGATTGAACTTTATTTACATT